GCTTTCCTGGCTTCAATGGTTAAAGACGTTTAACGTCTGTTGTTATGGAAGCATTGTATTGTATGTACATTTTGAATTAAAGTGTGAGTGTGAAATCTAACACTTAATAAAAAAACAAAAAACAATTTGTGACGTTTATAAGTTGATTAAAAGATGATTCGACGGACATAAAGTAAGATAAAAAAGTTGCGATTAATCGCGATGTTAACCTGACCTTCATGCGCATTAATCTAATTAAAAAAGTGAATTGTGGTCAGTGATGATAAAGGGACATACAGATAAAAGATTAGACGCATATGAAAATATTGTTTTACATTATAGAAAAAAGTCGTATGAACCCATCCTCTACTCATTGCTAGTCAAATTGTTTTTTTTCCAGTGCTCAAATGATTTAGACTGGAATCACTAAAGTGGTCTCTGTGTCTGCGCCGAGTCTGAATCTTAGCCAGAGCCTGAATCACATACTACTGATTTGGGCTTCTTCCAGTCTTTGTGTATGTATAACCTCCTTTTTGAGACAAAACTTTTGTCCTCTGTGTTTCAGTTGATCATGGGTTTTGTTCCTCTGTGTTTCAGTCTGATATGGGTTTGGTTCCTCTGTGTTTCAGTCTGATCATGGGTTTTTGTTCCTCTTTGTTTTCAGTTGATCTGGGGTTTGGTTCCTCTGTGTTTCAGTCTTGATCATGGGTTTGGTTCTCTGTGTTTCAGTCTGATCAAGGTTTTGTTCCTCTGTGTTTCTAGTCTGATCATGGTTTGGTTCCTCTGTGTTTCTAGTTGCTCATGGGTTTGGGTTCCTCTGTGTTTCTAGTCTGATCATGGTTGGTTCCTCTGTGTTTCAGTCTGTTCATGGGTTTGGTTCCTCTGTGTTCGTCTGATCATGGTTTGCGTGCCTCTGTGTTTCTGTCTGATCATGGTTTTGTTCCTCTGTGTTTCAGTCTGATCTGGGTTTGGTTCCTCTGTGTTTCAGTCTGATCATGGGTTGGTTCCTCTGTGTTTCAGTATGATCATGGGTTTGGTTCCTCTGTGTTTAGTCTGATCATGGGTTTGGTTCCTCTGTGTTTCAGTCTGATCATGGGTTTGGTTCCTCTGGTGTTTCTGTCTGATTGTGGGTTTTGTTCCTCTGTGTTTCAGTCTGATCATGGGTTTGGTCCTCTGTGTTTCAGTCTGATTGTGGGTTTTGTTCTCTGTGTTTCAGTTGATTGTGGGTTTTGTTCCTCTGTGTTTCAGTTGATTGTGGGTTTTGTTCTCTGGTTTAGTCTGATCCATGGGGTTGTGACAAAGGCCAAAGAGAAGAATCTTCTGAAGAGGAAGCAGGAGGGACGTCTACTGAGCTTCAGACGAATGTCTGATGGGAGGAGTGACCTTCTCCTGGAGAGACACCCACCTTCACCGGTCTGTTCATCAGGTCTCAGGTAGCAAGACGTGGTTATTTTATCTGTGCCAAAAGGCCTGCTGTCGGTTTCCACTTGTCTCAGGACTTGAGAAAAGTAAAGATGATAAAAGGTAAGAGTATGAGTTCCTTTACAAAAGACAAACATTTGAACTACTACAACTACTGCTCTTACTACTACTATAATGCTTACTAATACTACTATTACTGATATTACTGCCACAAAAAAGGCACACAGGCCGTGAGGTGCAGAAGGTAGATGTAGTGAGTGAGGGACACTATTTTTAACTTTTTTAAAAGTTTAAGTTAAACATTTGTCAGTAGAAATAAGTGCATAAATACTTAAAAGTAAAAGTCTGTTACTTAAATAAAGGCAGTGAAATAGTTTTTTCTAGATACTCTAGAAAACTATGACTGAATAAACCGCAACCCCCATTTTTTTTTTAATCCCTTTTTTTTTCTGTCGAGTTGATCGCACAGAGATTAAACCGTGTCGACCTTTCCAAAAGGCGATCTGGATCAAATTCCTTTTCATATGAATAATACCGGAACTTCCAGCTGATGGAGCAGGACATCTTCCGGAGAATCCCCTGCTTTATCTTTATCCAAAACATTCCCAAAGAAAGAGGCCTTCAGGATGTTTACTACAGTGACAAGAGCGGAGGTGAGATGATACGGCATCAGTTAGGCTGTGTTCACAGCTAAAGTGGGCAAGGGGCTGTGTGACCGCGGCATTGGGCTTCTGCTCTGGTGCTGCAAATGGACTAGCCTGGTGGCGAAGTGAAGGAAGTATTTAAAATAACCCAAATTCTGGTGTAAATATTGTGTTTCTATTCAGAACAAAAAGTCCTTACATCTGAATACATCAGAACAAAACTACATGTTTCGTCCACACAGAGTAAGTTCCTCCACATGCAGAGGAGACACTTATGTGGATCCTGAGGGCTCCTGAGGAGGCTCCTGGTCTCACGGGGGCCTCTGAGGTTCACAAGGAGGCTTCTGAGAGGCCCCGGAGGTTGTCCAGGCTCAGAGTGTGTGTTGACAGGTTTGTTTGTGTGTGTGGTGTGTGTGTGTGTGGAGTGTTGTTTGTGTAGGAATCGTCAGAGGCTTCTGAGCTTTGTGCAGAGTCAGGTGAGTGGCTCCTCTGCTGGTCACTTTGTACTACAGCAGGAGGTCAAAACACTGAGATGATATAACTGTTGTCAAAAGTATTAATGTGTGTGGTTTCATTATCATGTTAAGTTTAACACAGGACTTCCAAGTCCTCCCAGTGCCGTCTTTTTGACTGCTCTCCCTCAATAAACCTGCAATTCAGGAAAAAATCCCAAAAGAGTTTGTTTTCCAACAGAATTTGTTAAAAGTGATCCTCAAACTTTGTACCTTTACTACTTTTAATAAGTGCTACTGCTTAGCAGTCCAGGACGTCACACTGTCACAGCACCTTGTTGGTTGCCAAAATGATCCAAAACGGCTACATTAGTTTTACTTCTCGGAATTAACTTAGTTCTCGCTTTATAATGCAGATCGACACGTAAAAAATATATTTTCATAAAAATAATGACAGAAAAACTACAGCTAAAACAGGAAAAGTCAAGTTATGAGGAGCAAGAGTCTACAGGACGCTGAGTCTCTACGCTTAAACTAAATCTTCTGGGTAGTTTTCCTAGTGTTTAAAATTAACCATATAATGGAAATCAATAGTAAACATTCAGTCTCATTCTGTTACATTTTATAGTTGTTTGGGTTGGCTCGGAACCTTCAGAATGTTAGAATAAAAAGTTAAAGAAGACCCTGAGTTTGACGCCTTGTGGTTTTGACCTTCTGCGACCCTGTCCTTGTTAGTGACAATCACAGAACCTTTTTAAGACCTGACTTCAAATCTTTGATTTTTGGGTTCGTTCTTACACAGAAGAATCACTTCTTTCACTTATCTCAGTGTGCCCCAGGCAGCTGTGGCTTACTGCGCTCGCGTATTTTATGACCTTTGTGTTTGGAGTGACGCCTTGTGAGAGAGTGGCTATGTAAAACCCTGCATTAATATTATTATTATTATATGTTGTATTATAAAGTTCTCCGGTGGGGAGATTTCAGAGTTTTTCATATTAAAGAAAGTCAGGTTACCCAGTTTTAATATTCCAAGATAACTGTGTTCGGTTCCTATAGATGGCACTCTCCTTTTCTTTCTTAGAGGTATACAGAGGCTTTAGTCCATTTTTCAGATAGTTTCCATACCCAAGGTGTTATTCACTGTGTTTATATAATTCTAAACACAAAAATGATATAGAAACAGCAGTGCGTTGCGGTGAGGTTTGTGATTGGGGTGGCATCTGACTTTAAAATTCAGATTTACATCATTATTCAAATTAAATAGCTTTAATCCACCAATGCAATGACATCCACAATACTTTATTATAATGTAAGATAAGAGAACCAGCTTCTTTTAATATCTCACAAACAACATCTAGCTGCCTGACTCTGCTCCGCATTTCAGAACAACATCTTTAAGTGCGCAGGTGCGAGAGACGCGAGGAGAGAGAGACGCGAGGAGTAAGAGGAGCAGGAGAGAGACAGAGAGAGGAGCAGAGTAGACGAGACGCCGGACTGGAGACGAAGAGAGACGGAGACGCCGAGGAGAGAGAGACAGCGTGGGAGAGGAGCGAGAGAGACAGAGAGAGCAGAGAGACGGAGACGCGAGGAGCAGAGAGAGACGGGACTCGAGGGAGAGAGACGCTGAGGAGAGAGGTGCAGAGAGAGACAGAGAGGAGCAGAGAGACGGAGACGCGGAGGAGCAGAGAGAGACGGAGACGCGAGGAGAGAGAGACGCGTAGGCTCAACATGTCTCTCTACTCTCGCAATTTTAAACAAGTTGCAGAACTCTTGAGCAGTGTTTGAATCTGTGTTTTTCGGAAAAGCAACTACTTTGCGGAGATCTGTCAATGTTCAACATAAAAACACAGATTAACAAAACTCAATACCCCGCAGTCCGGACTAACATCGTAAGTCCTGTGGTGGTCTCCCTGTCTATATTAATTCTTTCTTTGTTGAAAGTCCAATGAGAAAAAAAATCTTCATTCAATCATCCATTGTCCAGCTAAAAGGAATGCATTTTGGGCTGATTGTTTGTTAGCAACTCTGGTATGAACTTATGCTCACTATCACCCCTAGCGGTGAGGCACAGTTACCGCTGCCTCCGCCAAGCTTTTTCCTGTGTGTTCATATTCGATCAAAAGATTAACACTAAATATAAATTGTACACACATACGTGCAATTCACTACTAAAACACTATGAGGTGTTTAAAATTGTTTTTAAAGCAGGATATTGAAAACAACGGTGATATATCAACTGCACGAGCTGAGGCACTCAGACACACACACACACACTGTGAGGGAGCGGTCTGGGGAGAAGGACGCAGGAGCGCTGCCTCACCTCGTCTCTTTGATAGGAATAACGGATTTCGGCGATTTTGACTTCACAGAAATGATCAAAACTGATGTGAACCGTGCCGATATACATTAAAAAGCATAGGACAGTGGTGGAATATAAATTATATATTTAAACTATACTAATTATTACACTGAGGGAGAGTCAGACTGGGACTGGTCCTCAGGTCTAGAGTAAGACTGGGACTGGTCCTCTCAGGTCTAGAGTCAGACTGGGACAGGTCCTCAGGTCTAGAGTCAGACTGGGACAGGTCCTCAGGTCTAGAGTCAGACTGGGACAGGTCCTCAGGTCTAGAGTCAGACTGGGACAGGTCCTCAGGTCTAGAGTCAGACTGGGACTGGTCCTCAGGTCTAGAGTCAGACTGGGACTGGTCCTCAGGTCTAGAGTCAGACTGGGACTGGTCCTCAGGTCTAGAGTCAGACTGGGACAGGTCCTCAGGTCCAGGGTCCAGGTCAGACCTGGAACATGATTACCTCTGTGAATGGAGGTGAGCAGCGCCGGTGGCCCGCTTCCACATTTCGCTACAACGCCGCGCCGGTGATGCTAGTTTAGCATAAGTTCAAGATTTTTGATCTTAACTTCCAGTTGCTTCCTTCTCCTTCGAAGAACTGCATCTGCTCTTCCAGTTCATACTTTTGATCCAGTGCAGCTATATTTGCTTTAATCTCTAAACGAGCTGCAGCCAAAGATTTATTTTTGCAGTAAAACATTGTATAATGAAACTATATTCAAAAGTCTCTCCTCTTGATCCCAACAACAGCATCTGCATGGTCAATCCACTGAAACATTTAGGTAGTCTTTGACCTGTAGAGGCCTAGGGCCCTATGTCACTGGAACACTAAGTTACATGTTCACTGGGAGTTCAGACGCCTGTTTCCTTGTCCAAAAATGAGTCCAATACAAAAATATGCAGAAAATACACTTTTTATTTCCATGTGCTCGGTCAAAAGACTGTTCCTCCTCACACATGCAACACCTGCTGCACTAATTGCAGGAGAACCTGGACCAGTGGACTCACTCCTTCACTGTATCCAACAGATCAGTGAGTGGATGCAAAACAACTTCCTTCAGCTAAACGCAGACAAAACTGAAATGATTGTCTTTGGTCCCCAGAAACAAAGAGAGAGCGTCATCTGTCACCTCCAGTCTCTCTCCCTAAAACCTTCAAACAAGGTCAGAAATCTATGGGGTAATACTGGACTCAGACTTAAATTTTAATAGCCACATTAAATCAGTAACATCAGCAGCTTTTTACCATCTAAAAAACATTGACAGGATCAAAAACATAGTGTCTAAAGCAGACTTGGAGATTCTTATCCATGCATTTGTCTCCAGTAGGTTAGACTACTGCAATGGCCTGCTCACAGGTCTGTCCAAACAGGCTGTAAAACAGCTGCAGTACATTCAAAATGCAGCAGCTCGAGTCCTGACTAGAACCAGGAAGTACGACCATATTAGTCCGGTCCTCAGGTCCCTGCACTGGCTTCCTGTGGCTCAGAGAATAGACTTTAAAACAGCTCTGCTTGTTACAAGTCTCTCCATGGCCTCGCACCAAACTATATTAGTGACATGTTAGTCCCATATGAACCAGCCCGGACTCTGAGGAGCACAGGGACTGGACTCCTGTTAGTGCCCAGAGTCAGAACTAAACATGGGGAGGCTGCTTTTCAGATTCATGCTGCTAAAATCTGGAACAATCTTCCTGAAGATGTGAGACAGGCCTCCTCTCTGACAATGTTTAAAACCAAGTTAAAAACGGTGCTGTTTAGCTGTGCATAAAACTGAGGGATTTTATATTTTTATCTTTCTTTTTAATGTTCTGTGATTATTTATGATTTTAATGCTATCTTGTTCAGCACTTTGAGTTGCCTTGTGTATGAATTGTGCTATACAAATAAACTTGCCTTGCCTTGCCTTGCCTAAACATTCAGCAGTCATTATGACTGTTTTAAACATTCAGCAGTCATTATGACTGTTACATTCAGCAGTCATTATGACTGTTTTAAACATTCAGCAGTCATTATGACTGTTTTAAACATTCAGCAGTCATTATGACTGTTTTAAACATTCAGCAGTCATTATGACTGTTTTAAACATTCAGCAGTCATTATGACTGTTTTAAACATTCAGCAGTCATTATGACTGTTTTAATCATTCAGCAGTCATTATGACTGTTTTAAACATTCAGCAGTCATTATGACTGTTTTAAACATTCAGCAGTCAGTATGACTGTTTTAAACATTCAGCAGTCATTATGACTGTTTTAATCATTCAGCAGTCATTATGACTGTTTTAAACATTCAGCAGTCATTATGACTGTTTTAAAGCCATGTTAATGCACACACAGGATTCTAATACCTCAGCTTCACATTTATGGAGGAGTATGGCGCCCCCTGCTGGCTGCTTTGGTGCATGACTAAAGTGTCTTTGGCTGAAATTGTCCATTGAATGTATTTAGAGAAAGCAAACTTCTTCATATTCTCTGCAGTGAAATAAAAGTATATTTGTAAATGTAAACAGCTAAAGGAACATGTCCTGGATCAAAGTGTGGACATTGATAGTGGGAGGATGATAGTGGAGTTGTTGGATTTTCATTAAAGTGAATGAATTTATTCAAAGTTTAGACAGCTTTGGGTTAACTTACGTGTGTGATGGGACGCATCAGCAGCATTCTCCCATCCCCCCATGGGTGAAACAAGAGACGTCTAAATAAGCAGGAAGCCAAAGACATCTGGTTTTGGTTAGTCTGGTATAAGACCAGAGCTCTTTAGCCCATTCCTTTGTCACTCTGCTGCTACATCTGGCTGACCCAGACTGGTGCAGTCTGTAAACTTGTCTGTTTGTGCTGATGTCCAGATAACCTGTAGTTTTGAACCAGCGGCTGACAACATGTATTAAAGAGATTATGTTGTTGAAATGTGAGTAGTTTTTTTCACAGAGGAAAACTTCCTCTCACTATCAATGAGAGAATAATAACAGTACAACAGGAAACTACTGTGTGTGGATCAAATGTTCTTCTGACGTTTATTGCTTTCATTATTAACATCTGAGCTTCAGGAAACATCTGAGCGTGTAAATATGATTCTGGATGTGACATCACTGGAGAGGATTTGGAGGTGTAACCATTGGAAAATATACTTTATTTTTATATTGTGCCATATTGTTTATGGCACGTTTTAGCCCATGTTTTATGTTCCTAGTAGAGTTGCACATAATCCTGTACTGTCGCTTTAAGAGAAAGGTGTTTCCTTCGCTGCGCCCCAGAGCCTCCCTCAGTAGTGGAGCATGGAGGGTATTTTGGGAGAGGGGTTTAATCAAGAGAGGGCATTATTTTATTTTCTAACTTTAACAAAAATGATAAATAGACTGTAACATTGGTCCAAAGGCATGGAGTATAACACTCCGATTCAGTAGGTGGCAGTATACGGCAATATTGATTCTTAGCCCACCATTAAAAAAACAGAAGCCTCCGTCAGTCTGCGCATGCGCCTCGCTCAGTCTTTGCCTAGCGTCTGAGGAGGTGGGTCACGTTTTTACACTCTGCATGATTTCGGTTTTAAATGTTATTTATGTTGTTACAAATGCAAATGTACAAGTCAGAGCCTTTTGAATCCATGTTTTAAGTCTGTAGTTTACAGTGATGGGCAGTAGCGACGCTACTAGCTTAACTCGCTACGTTTTTCAGTAGCTTGAGGGTAGCGTCACTATTTACAAATCCAAGTAACTTTTCTGTAGCTAAGCTATTTTTTTGAGCAAGTAGCGCGGTAGGGTCCTCCAAAGCTGTTTTCTCACGGACATTTCTGATGTTTCAGCTTGTTCTGTCTCCTGACTATACAAACTGGACGTTTGAGCATTACCCCTGCTCACAGGGAACTTTTATTACCAGCTAGTGCAGGGAACATACAGCAGCCACAATGCTCATTGTGTGTGTAACACTCAACTCCCCGGGTAGGAACAAAGGACATACATACAAGCAATTCCTATTGCTACATCCCTTTTCTTTTAAAACAGAAATACAACATTGTTCCTTACATAAAGCTTGACTTTTTGTTTACTTACACTTCAACCTGCAACTAAAATCAAAACTTCCTCATAAATGTTTCTCTGTATAACAACAAAATGACTTTAAATGTATTAAACACAAAATACACTTTCGCTGACAATAACTGCAAAAATCAAAGTGCTTATCACCCAATGTAAACAATTAACATAACTTTTTTTATTTATTTTATTTTTTATTATTTTTTTCATTTTCCCCTTACTCATTTCAAGTGCTGCATATAAAGTCATTGAGACGTTTAGGGCGATTTATCTCACGTCCTGACCTTGTAACCGTACTCTGATGGCTCACAATGTCCCGAGAGACCGGGTCACAGCTTGTCTCAGTTTGTGATTGTCCTGAGATGTCCCGTTGTTGCATTTCCACAGCTTTTCTCAAGTGGCGACGATTCAGTCTTAGAACACTTCCTGTGTCCAGCTCTACTGTATAGGACCTGTTGCCCAGTTGTGTGCTGACCGTGGCCTTTCTCCATTCAGCATTTGGTACAAAAGGCTGAACACGCACTGCATCGCCTGGTTTCAGAGCGTCCATCTCCTTTGCTGTTTGGTTGTAATATTTAGCTTGTCTTTGTTGATTTTTTATAAATCCTGACCGGTTCTGTGTCACTTCTGGCTCCAGTAGACTGTCTTTGATTGGCAGGAGTGTCCTTGTTCTCCTGCTGAGCAGTCTCTGTGCAGGGCTCGTGTCTAATCCTTGGGTCGGTGTATTCCTATGGTCCAAAATGGCCAAATACGGGTCCTGTCCTGCCATTTTCGCCTTCCTCATCAGCCGTTTTGCTGTTTTAACAGCCGACTCTGCCTTGCCATTACTTTGTGGATAGCCAGGGGAGGAAGTTTTGTGTGTAAATTCCCATTTTCGACTGAAATTTGCAAACTCTGTACTGGGGCCCATTGTCCGAGAATACAATGTCTGGGATGCCTTGTCTTGCAAAGTGAGATTTTAGTTTTCGTATTACTGTGTTTGACTTTGTGTCTGGCATGTAGTCTACCTCCCAGAAGTTTGAGTAGTAATCAACCGTCAACAGGTAATCCTTGTCTTCAAAAGAGAATAGATCTGTTCCCACTTTTGACCAGGGTCTGGTTGTGATCATGTGTGGTTGTAATGTCTCTTTTTGTTGTTTCATGTCCATGGACCGACATGTGTCACACTTAGCAACATGCTTTTTGATATGATCTGTCATACCATGCCAGTAAACACAGTCCCTCGCTCTCCTGAGGCATCCTTCTGTCCCCAGGTGTGACGAGTGGATACGTTGAGTGAAGTCCCTCTGGAGTGATTCTGGTATCACGACTCTTTCACCCCTGAAAACCAGTCAATTTTGTGTACTCAGTTCATCCTGCAAAGAATAGAAGTTAGTTATTTCAACAGGAATGTCTTTTTTATCTTTTGGCCACCCTTCTTGTATAATTTTGATAAGAATCTAAAGATTCTAATCAGCCATTGTAGCGGTGCGCACT